GGTAAAGCACCTTAAGACCCTTCCATCTATGAAGAGTATTTGATTCTACCATATCTGGGTCTTGAGAAGAAGATTTTTGAAATTTTAGTCAATTTGACCCTTTTTGGGCCCGCCCCTCAGGCCCCTGGGGGCTTAGGACTAAACGGGCAACTATTTTTGTTGACCTTTGTCCATGGAAGGTCCCTGCAAAATTTCATCGAAATTGGTTCAGGGGTTTTGGAGAAGGCGAAAATGTAAATTGTTTATGGACGCACGACGGACGACGGACAAAAGGCGATCGCAATAGGTCACTTGAGACTTTGTCTCAGGTGACCTAAAAAGTGGCTGAGATATGATGAGGAAACGAGTGTTACACTATTTAAGAACTTGACGTCAAGATCAAAGGTAAAATTGATATCATTTTATGGATGTTACACACCACATTCTTGATGTACCTATATACAAAGGTTGATGTACCTATATACAAAGGTTGATGTACCTATATACAAAGGTTGATGTACCTTTATACAAAAGTTGATGTACCTATATACAAAGGTTGATGTACCTATATACACAGGTTGATGTACCTATATACTGAGGTTGATGTACCTATATACAAAGGTTGATGTACCTTTATACAAAAGTTGATGTACCTATATACAAAGGTTGATGTACCTATATACAAAAGATGATGTACCTATATACACAGGTTGATGTACCTATATACACAGGCTGATGTACCTATATACTGAGGTTGATGTACCTATATACAAAGGTTGATGTACCTTTATACAAAAGTTGATGTACCTATATACAAAGGTTGATGTACCTATATACAAAAGATGATGTACCTATATACACAGGTTGATGTACCTATATACTGAGGTTGATGTACCTATATACAAAGGTTGATGTACCTTTATACAAAAGTTGATGTACCTATATACAAAGGTTGATGTACCTATATACACAGGTTGATGTACCTATATACTGAGGTTGATGTACCTATATACAAAGGTTGATGTACCTTTATACAAAAGTTGATGTACCTATATACAAAGGTTGATGTACCTATATACAAAGGTTGATGTACTTATATACAAAGGTTGATGTACTTATATACAAAGATTGATGTACTTATATACAAAGGTTGATGTACTTATATACAAAGATTGATGTACTTATATACAAAGGTTGATGTACCTATACAAAGGTTGATGTACTTATATACAAAGGTTGATGTACTTATATACAAAGGTTGATGTACTTATATACAAAGGTTGATGTACTTATATACAAAGATTGATGTACTTATATACAAAGGTTGATGTACTTATATACAAAGATTGATGTACTTATATACAAAGGTTGATGTACCTATACAAAGGTTGATGTACTTATATACAAAGGTTGATGTACTTATATACAAAGGTTGATGTACTTATATACAAAGGTTGATGTACTTATATACAAAGATTGATGTACTTATATACAAAGGTTGATGTACTTATATACAAAGATTGATGTACTTATATACAAAGGTTGATGTACATATACAAAGGTTGATGTACCTATATACAAAGGTTGATGTACTTATATACAAAGGTTGATGTACTTATATACAAAGATTGATGTACTTATATACAAAGGTTGATGTACCTATACAAAGGTTGATGTACCTATATACAAAGGTTGATGTACTTATATACAAAGGTTGATGTACTTATATACAAAGGTTGATGTACTTATATACAAAGGTTGATGTACTTATATACAAAGATTGATGTACTTATATACAAAGGTTGATGTACTTATATACAAAGATTGATGTACTTATATACAAAGGTTGATGTACCTATACAAAGGTTGATGTACCTATATACAAAGGTTGATGTACTTATATACAAAGGTTGATGTACTTATATACAAAGGTTGATGTACTTATATACAAAGGTTGATGTACTTATATACAAAGATTGATGTACTTATATACAAAGGTTGATGTACTTATATACAAAGATTGATGTACTTATATACAAAGGTTGATGTACTTATATACAAAGATTGATGTACTTATATACAAAGGTTGATGTACCTATACAAAGGTTGATGTACCTATATACAAAGGTTGATGTACTTATATACAAAGGTTGATGTACTTATATACAAAGGTTGATGTACCTATACAAAGGTTGATGTACTTATATACAAAGGTTGATGTACTTATATACAAAGGTTGATGTACTTATATACAAAGATTGATGTACTTATATACAAAGGTTGATGTACTTATATACAAAGATTGATGTACTTATATACAAAGGTTGATGTACTTATATACAAAGATTGATGTACTTATATACAAAGGTTGATGTACTTATATACAAAGATTGATGTACTTATATACAAAGGTTGATGTACTTATATACAAAGATTGATGTACTTATATACAAAGGTTGATGTACTTATATACAAAGATTGATGTACTTATATACAAAGGTTGATGTACTTATATACAAAGATTGATGTACTTATATACAAAGGTTGATGTACTTATATACAAAGATTGATGTACTTATATACAAAGGTTGATGTACCTATACAAAGGTTGATGTACTTATATACAAAGGTTTGGGTTAAAGAAGTAATATAGAAGGTAAAATCCCATATAACACTGGATCCTAATGGAGGTATGTCCGTAGGATACAACTTACTTAAAATATTATATGGGGCAAAGAAGTAATTCCAACAGTGCTGTTGGAATTACTTCTTTGCCCAATATATACATAGGTTAATGTACCTTTATACAAAAGTTGATGTACCTATATACACAGGTTGAGGTACCTATATAGAAAGGGGGATGTACCTAGACAAAGGTTGATGTACCTATATACAAAGGGTAATGTACCTATATACAAAGGTTAATGTACCTTTATGCAAAGGTTAATGTACCTTTATACAAAAGTTGATGTACCTATATACACAGGTTGATGTACCTATATAAAAAGGTTGATGTACCTATACAAAGGTTGATGTACCTATACATAGATTTGGGTCAAAGAAGTAATATAGACGGTAAAATCCCATATAACACTGGATCCTAATGTTGGAAAGACATGCAGGTTGTTGCTATAGATCATTGCCTTACATGGGATGAAACGAGACGACGTACGAGAGAACGGTTTTGGATCACCAATATACAAACCCGCTACCCTCGAGGTACGAACGATAGGCGGTTGCCATCCGCTCGTTTTCCTCCCAGTGGGCATTTGACCTAATGGTACATTACTGCACAGTTGGTCTGCTATCTCGCCTGCCTGATGCTGCATGTCAGTGTGTGTGACCAACAGCCATTGTCAATTTCATTTGACAGATCTATACAGTATCTTAGCCATTTCATCTACTTATTCCTCCTGCACTCATTCATTTGATAATTACATGCATTATTCCTGCAAACAGGAAGAGGCGACTAAGTGTGGACCCCCCTGCTGCGACTGTTAAATCCACTGCAGAATTGAGAGGCGACTAATGAGGGCATTCCGTAGTAAATTGAGATTTTTCACATTTACCAGGCCAGATTCCCACATGCACATTTTCCACGTTTTTGATATCTCGTCCCTTTTTTCTGGTGCTTATCTCTCGTTGACTCACTTTATTGGATAGTGCATCTTGCGCAAGAATAGGTCCTCTACATCAGCGTTCCTTGTCCGCGATGCTCTCAGCTTAATTCCTGCTATCAGCTGTCTTTAGCCGAGGGGACTATTGGTTTTATATAATAGCTATATTTTCAATTATAGTATATCAGTTCTATCTTCTTGAAATATGATGTGTATGTACATGTAACTGTTCTGTTTCACTGTGTCTTAATAAAGGAGCGGATCGCTCCGAAAATTTGACAACCTAAACTTGTCCACTGTGGGAATTACTTCTTTGCCCCATATATACATAGGTTGATGTACCTATATACAAAGGTTGATGTATATCTATATACAAAGATTGATGTACCTATATACAAGGGTTGATGTACCTATATACAAGGGTTGATGTACCTTTATACAAAGGTTGATGTATATCTATATACAAAGGTTGATTTACCTATATACAAAGGTTGATGTACCTATATACAATGGTTGATGTACCTATATACAAGGGTTGATGTACCTATATACAAGGGTTGATGTACCTATATACAAGGGTTGATGTACCTATATACAAATGTTAATGTACCTATCTACAAAGGTTGATGTACCTATATACAAGGGTTGATGTACCTTTATACAAAAGATGATGTGCCTATATACAAAGGTTGATGTACCTATATACAAAGGTTGATGTATATCTATATACAAGGGTTGATGTACCTTTATACAAAGGTTGATGTACCTATATACATTAAAGGTTGATGTACCTATATACAAAGGTTGATGTAACTACAAAGGTTGATGTACCTATATACAAAGGTTGATGTACCTATATACAAGGATTGATGTACCTTTATACAAAAGATGATGTACCTATATACAAAGGTTGTGATGTACTTATATACAAAGATTGATGTACTTATATACAAAGGTTGATTTACCTATATACATTAAAGGTTGTTGTACCTAGATAGAAAGGTTGATGTAACTACAAAGGTTGATGTGCCTATATACAAAGGTTGATGTCCCTATATACAAAGGTTGATTTACCTATATACATTAAAGGTTGATGTACCTATAGACAAAGGTTGATGTACCTACTTATATACAAAGATTGATGTACTTATATACAAAGGTTGATGTAGCTATATACAAGGATTGATGTACCTTTATACATAAGATGATGTACCTATATACAGAGGTTGATGTACCTATATAAAAAGGTTGATGTACCTTTATACAAAATATGATGTACCTATATACAAATGTTGATGTACCTATATACAGAGGTTGATGTACCTATATAGAAAGGTTGATGTACCTATAAACAAAGGTTGATGTACCTAGATACAAAGGTTGATGTACCTATAGACAAAGGTTGATGTACCTATAGACAAGGATGATGTATACATAGATTGATGTACCTTTATACATAAGATGATGTACCTATATACAAAGGGTAATGTACCTATATACAAAGGGTAATGTACCTATATACAAAGGATGATGTATACTTATATACAAAGGTGGATGTTCCTATATACAAAGGTTGATTTACCTATATACAAAGGTTGATGTACCTTTATACAAAGGTTGATGTATACATATATACTAAGATTGATGTACCTATAGACAAGGTTGATGTATACATAGATTGATGTACCTTTATACAAAGGTTAATCTACCTATATACAAAGGTTAATGTACTTATATACAAAGGTTGATGTATACTTATATACAAAGGTTGATGTACCTATATACAAAGGTTGATGTTTATCTATATACAAAGATTGATATACATATATACATAGGGTAATCTACCTGTATACACAGTTTGATGTACCTATATACAAATGTTGATGTACCTATATACACAGGTTGATGTACCTACAAAGGTTGATTTACCTATATACAAAGGTTGATGTACCTATATACAAAGGTTGATGTACCTATATACACAGGTTGATGTACCTGGATACAAAAGTTGATGTACCTATATTCAAAGGTTGATGTATACCTATAGACATAAAGGTTGATGTACCTATATACATAGATTGATGTACCTTTATACAAAGGTTGATGTATACATATATACTAACGTTGATGTACCTATATACAAAGGTTAATCTATCTATATACAAAGGTTAATGTACTTATATACTAAGGTTGATGTATACTTATATACAAAGGTTGATGTACCTATATACAAAGGTTGATGTACCTATATACAAAGGTTGATGTACCTATATACACAGGTTGATGTACCTAGATACAAAAGTTGATGTACCTATATTCAAAGGTTGATGTATACCTATAGACATAAAGGTTGATGTACCTATATACATAGATTGATGTACCTTTATACAAAGGTTGATGTATACATATATACTAACGTTGATGTACCTATATACAAAGGTTAATCTACCTATATACAAAGGTTAATGTACTTATATACTAAGGTTGATGTATACTTATATACAAAGGTTGATGTACCTATATACAAAGGTTGATGTACCTATATACAAAGGTTGATGTACCTATATACACAGGTTGATGTACCTATATACAAAGGTTGATGTACCTATATACAAAGGTTGATGTACCTATATACAAAGGTTGATGTACCTATATACAAAGGTTGATGTACCTATATACAATGGTTGATGTCAATTTATGAAAGAGTAGCTGAGATATGCTCTGGTAGTCTTATTTTTTGTAACTATGGTCAATGTCAACATCAAAGAGAAGTTTTGCTGGTTACACTGACCTCTGACACTGAATGTCGGCATTTTTTGATAAATAACTTTGAACCATTTAAAATACAGAGTGGACTCGTCCAATGAAGGACAGATGGATGATGTAATATCCATCTTCATCATGGTTATATAATCTGTACTTTAGTATGTACCTAGCCGGAGCACCGGGAGTAATTCTTCACTAATAAAGTTAGGAATAGTTACAACCAGCATGGTCAGAGTTGTTTGTTGCCAGCTATGTCAGAGTTGTGTGTTGCCAGCTATGTCAGAGTTGTGTGTTTGCCAGCTATGTCAGAGTTGTGTGTTTGCCAGCTATGTCAGGGTTGTGTGTTTGCCAGCTACAATTGTATGTCAGGGTTGTGTGTTAATTGCCAGCTATGTCAGAGTTGTGTGTTTGCCAGCTATGTCAGAGTTGTATGTTTGCCAGCTATGTCAGAGTTGTGTGTTTGCCTGCTATGTCAGAGTTGTGTGTTTGCCAGCTGTGTCAGAGTTGTGTGTTTGCCAGCTATGTCAGAGGTGTGTGTTTGCCAGCTATGTCAGAGTTGTGAGTTTGCCAGCTATGTCAGAGCTGTGTGTTTGCCAGCTATGGCAGAGTTGTGTGTTTGCCAGCTATGTCAGCGTTGTGTGTTTGCCAGCTATGTCAGAGTTGGGTGTTTGCCAGCTATGTCAGAGTTGTGTGGTTGCCAGCTATGTCAGAGTTGTGTGTTTGCCAGCTATGTCAGAGTTGTGTGTTTGCCAGCTATGGAAATGTAATGACTAATATAAATCGACCATCAACAGTCATCACCACAGATGGGAAACCTGATTTCTTTTTTAATAGACCACCCCCATCTCTGATGTGTGACCCTAACAATGAAAATTAGCAGGAACCATTTTTTAAATATTAACCTGTAACTTTTTTTCTGTTTCATCCTGTTCTGATGTTAACTTGCGAATTCCATGTTCTCGTCCCCTAAGTTGTGTTACAGTTGATTCCAAGGTCTGCTTGGTTGACTCCAGAATCAATTCAGCCTTGTCTACTTCAGCAGCTAAATACAACAAATTACATGACACATTAAGTAGATAGGATTATTATTACATTTTCAAAAGTGAAATATTGAAACTTGTTCATTCTATTGAAGTGATATTTCACTTCTGCTGGTTCGAATTGGCCTATCAAAACACTGATTACAAACTATCATGAGACAAGAAATCAAATAAGAATCTATATCAGATCTACAAAATATGACTTTTTTTGCTCTTCATTTTCTTTACGGGTACTATAACCAAGTACCATGTTGGATATCTTCAACAGAAGTGGTGTCAATGATGGATGAATTCCCATTAGGGCCAGGGGTGTTTATAACAAGGGGAATATACATAAAAAGTGATAACAGTCAAATTCAACTCTCTTTGTTTTCCGATCAGTCTCAATATTCGATATGTATATATTTAAGGACCATGAGGAACCTTCATGTGAAATTTGGGAAAGATCCCTCTTAAACTTTCTCAGCAATAGTGCTAACAAACTTGAACTTTCAAAATTCAAGATGGCTGCCTGTTTGCCATTTTCATTTTCTGATGGCTATAGCACTCTTTAACTCTTAAAATCCAAGTAGTTGCCTTTCAGCCATCTTTGTTTTCTGATCAGTCCCAAATTTTGATATGCATTTATAAGGATCATGAGGAACCTACATGTGAAATTTGAGAAAGTTCCTTTTTCTTAATTTCTGAAAAATAGGTCTAACAAACTTAAACTCATAAAATTCAAGAGGCATTAAAGGGAACAGTAATCTATAGCCTCTTCAAGTCACAATTTATAGTATACAGCTGCATAAAGTGGACAGTAATCAATAGCCTCTAATCAAGTCACAATTTATAGTATACAGCTACATAAAGGGGACAGTAATCAATAGCCTCTAATTAAGTAACAATTTATAGTATACAGCTATATAAAGGGAACAGAAATCAATAGCCTCTTGAAGTCACAATTTATAGTATACAGCTACATAAAGGGGACAGAAATCAATAGCCTCTTGAAGTCACAATTTATAGTATACAGCTACATAAAGGAGACAGTAATCAATAGCCTCTAATCAAGTCACAATTTATAGTATACAGCTACATAAAGGCGACAGTAATCAATTGCTTCTAATCAAGTCACAATTCATAGTATACAGCTACATAAAGGGGACAGTAATCAATAGCCTCTAATCAAGTAACAATTTATAGTATACAGCTATATAAAGGGAACAGAAATCAATAGCCTCTTGAAGTCACAATTTATAGTATACAGCTACATAAAGGGGACAGAAATCAATAGCCTCTTGAAGTCACAATTTATAGTATACAGCTACATAAAGG